TCTTATGGGGACTCATCTTGAGCTTCCTCATACTGATCCCACCTACTAAGTGCTAGAGGTTATGAACAATATGTGAAACTTCAAGTTGAGCAAAGAGGAGTGTAGAATTTCTAATGGTGAGGGTTCCTTTTCTAGTTCTCTAAGAATAGTCAACAGGAAAGTCCTATAGCTAGACCCAAGGCTACTAAAGAGGAAAACTAAATCTCAACCAAAAGTGAAGTCAACATCTAGATATGTACATATGTGGTTATGCCTTAGAGCTTTACAACTAAAGTTCATTGCCACAACCAAAACCTCAAGCACACCAAAAACATAGTGGAAAACTGAGAAGCCCCAAGGCTCAACCAATGTGGTGAAATGAAAAGCACCAAACCATCACCACTGAAGCATGAAGGCAAAACCAATGTGGTAAAACAACAAGTAGCAAAACACCACCATAGAGAAAAATCGAGAAACCTCAAGACACAACCAATGTGATAAAACAAGAATTACCAAACCACTACCACAAGTACTAAACGACTACCACAGAAGAAAACTGAGAAACTACAATGACACAACCACATAAGTAAAACAAGAAGCACTAAAACCCTAACATAGAGAAAAACCGAGAAGTCTCAATGCCATGACCACATATGTAAAACAATAAGCATCAAACCAACAACCCAGAGGACAATCAAGAAGTCTCAATGACACAATTACATAAGAAAAATGAGAAGCACCAAATCACCACCACAAAGAAAAACTGAAAGACCCCTAGGCATAACCATATAACTAAAACATCAAGCACCAAACTAGCACCACAGAGGACAATCGAAAAACCCAAATAACAGAACCACATGAGTAAAATTAAAAGCTCCAAACCACTATCATAGAAGAGAAACGAGAAACCTCAAGACAATCACATAAGTAAACTGAGAAGCACAAAACCACCACCACAAGGACAATTAAGAAGTCACAATGGCACAACCACTTAAGTAAAATGAGAAGCACCAAACCAACATCACAGAAGACAATCAAAAAGCCCCAATGGCACAACCACAAAAGTAAATACAGAAGCTCCAAACAACCACCACAAAGAAAGTACTAAATAGTCCCAAATCACAAATACAAGCAAAATGAGAAACATTAAACCATCACCATAGAGGAAAAATGAAAAGCCCCAAGGCACAACCACATAAGTAAAATAAGAAGCACCAAACCAACACCACAGAAGACAATTGAGAAGCCCCAATGACACAACCACATAATTTAAACAAGAAGCACCAAACAACCACTACAGAGGAAAACCAAGAAGCCCCAAGGCACAACCCACATAAATAAAACGAAAAGCAACAAACCAATACCATATACGAAAATGTTAAAGAAGGCAAGTCTTAGAGATACATAGAGAAAGATGTGGCAGCGAACGTAGGAGAAAAGAAGAGGACCATGAATGAGTCTTAATACCACTTGCTCGCAACGAAGCCAAAGGGGGGGAGAAGAAGGAAGGGTAATATCAAGGATTAAATGAGTCAATTTTCGAATTCAATAGGGGCAAGAAAATAGTTGTGAATTTAGAACACGATTAGAACTGCAAAACGGAATGCGGCGCTATCGTTCGTGGAATCTCGATTTCCAAAATGGGCTTATCATAAAAGCAGGTGAAATGATGGATCTCAAACGGTTATTAACAACTTTTCGAAATGAAAATCATTTATAAAGTGCTCCCAAACACACCCTTACTCCTTCAATTTAAAACGCTATTTTGCCCATACTTCCTAATTTATACAAAACTTAATATTAACATTTAATATATTTTAGAGTAATCATTCTAAAAAAAATATAATAAACTAAAGATTAGCTTGCTTGGTTTGGCTCTTCTCATTTCCCGGAAGTATAGACCCTTTCTCCTCCATTCTCCTTTTGTACCTGCACATGAGCCTGCTCTACTATAGCTTCATTCAATTCGCCTTTCCTTGCATGCGGCTCACCTCCACCTTCCCCGCACACAAATCTCCAACAAGTATCGACATGCGGACCCCTTGCTTCCTTGTATCGCTCGCATCACTTGCCCAACTCCTTCTCCTTGGCTCCATCTCTCACGTGCACTAGGTCTTTCCTCCTGCAAGAACTCGCACTGAACGGCTAGATTTGCAAGGTTCGCTCCTACTTGCATCCCCTGCATGCGATTCTTCCTCAGTGTCATTTCCATGATTCCCAAATGCATGTGTTCGTTCGGCTATACCATCTCCTTTCTTCTAATATGTTCTCTTTATGCCTCTATTGTTTCTTCCTTCCAGCTCAAATGACGTGCCTGTTCCTAGAGAAGAAATCATGGAGACAGTTTCTCATTCGTACCAACCTGAAATTACTACCTTTCTAGTTATAATACATTATATTGTAGCATCAGACCAGTCCTACTACAGGAAAAAATTCAACATAATGATCGGGATGTGATCAGACAAGTGCGAGGGAATATAAGGTGTGCGGTGTCGTCGGAGGATAACGCACGATAACGCACCAGAGATAACATTAAATATATCAATTTAAAATAAGACAAGAAAATAGCCAAACAACCCTATAGATCTAAATGTGATCATCACTGATGTATATTACATAGAAAAAAAACTCCCTCATATAAAGAGGAGAATTCATGTTATGGCAAAGATCATTTAAAAACCAAGGGAACAATGTAGCATATTTTCCTTAAATTAACACTACAATATCCTCTCTTCAACCCAAACTCTTTCCATCTTACCTAGCTCTTTCCTTGAGATGTGAATGATCAAAATCTAACATTAATGAGAGATATTCTAACCACCAATTTCAATATACTAATACATGTTGTGAAATTGTGATCAATCAATCAACTTTAACCAATCATAATTTTTTTTTATTCACAAAATAATGATATATATATTTCTCTGAAGAAAAGATTGAATCTCGAATGACAGTTTTCGAGCAATGTTTCAATAACTACAAAAGATATTAGGAAGCAAGACATGTATTTAACAACCTATTAGCTATGTTTGCACCAAAGAAGCAAACATCACCACAATCAAAAGTACAAAAAACAAATGAGTATCCTGAGATAAATAATGAGGATGCTTCTTAACAAATTGAAATTGATCGAGTGATTAAGACCATATTAGAATCTGAGCTTGGATCTTCCATATCGATTAATAGTAGGCCTACTATTAAGTATGATTCTGCAAAATTACTATTGTTCCAAAGCACTTAAAATGTCATCAAATAATTAGCCACAAATGTTAGAACTACTTCTATCCATTGTTTAATACTGTGCAATATGAGGCTCACCTCTGCGCTTTTTACAAAAAAACCGCAATGTGTTGTTCACCTCATTTTCCCAAGGTAAGGTGTACGACTCACCGAGGCTGAGGCACACATTAGAAAACAAGGCACGTCTAAACTCAAAAATTTTGAAGTCTAACATGCAATTTTTTTAAACAAAATTTAAAATAATATTAATATATTTCGAACTATTAACATTCACACCTCACACGCTAAATAACAAAAACTAAGAGAAAAATATATTAATAAAGATTTATGTAGTTAAAATTTTAATTTTCGACAAAGTTATTATTTTAATGAATATTTTTATGGATGATTATTCATTAAAAAATAGAAAATAATTGGGATTATGGATAATAAAGAATGAGAGAATATAGATTTGATGAAGGATAAGAAACAAAATAAATAATTTATTATGTCAATGATTCTAATGAAAATCAAATGGATGATGAGAGTTATATGGACTTTAAAATTAAAAATTCAGATGTTGATAACTTGATATATTGTTGTTTAAGTGGGGTATAGTATGAGCGATAGGAAAAATTTAATGTTCAACTGATTTTGATTGTTATCTTTTGATGTTTAATATTTTAATTTAATATCTTAGATTGCTTTAAAATTTTAATGTTTGTATAACCCATCTTATTTTATAATTTGACATTAGGATATTAACGTGTTATTTCTAGTTTTACGCAATTAATTACTTTTTATTTCTTTAGAATATCCTTATATTACATTTTAACATGCTATTAAATTCAAATATTAATATATTACTTCCTACTTCACGCTTTATAGTTTATACCATATTTATTAATTTACATAATTTTTTGAATTTGAAGCTTACGCCTCAAAATTTCCTTGAGGCTTACATTTCGCCTCATAAATGAAAAAAGACTGAATAGCTGATTGTACAATTTTAAACATTGCTTCTATCTCTCAAATCACTTGCTGAATTGAGTTCATTCTTCTACTTCTATCACAGATGTAATGTTGCAGTGTAACCATTATTTCAGATTATGGCATATTTCTAGTTTGCTCGCACTTGTCTTATTTTTCTGGTTGTATACCTTCTATGCTTACCATTGAGCCCATGCTACCATTATTATTCCCAATTGATTTATATTGAGTAGGCTATCTTGTTGCATGATAAATGTTGTCATAATCATCACCAAAACATCCATGACAGCCACACTTTGAGATGTTTGCAACTTATATTGCTAATTACAGATCCATGCATAAGCCAGTTTGGCCTCCGTCACCATCAACATCTTCCAACTGTTCTGAGAGGAGTTTCTTTCAACCTGGGTGAATGATGCAAAACAAAAAAGATACATAAATGTAGTATTAATAATAAACAATTGTCCTAGATTCCAAGCATGTTTGTACCATGTTCATATTTGGGATTATTATTATCTTTCTATTTATTCTTAACATGATTGAGATGAAATATTCAATTTTTAAGTCTACAAATGAGACCTTAGCCATGTATTATGAATGGTGTAATAATGAAGAATTAATATTTGTTCTCCCTCCGTCCCTCATTTCTCCATCTGCATCTCCACCTATATTTTCTCTACTTCTTCCTGTCTTTTTCTACGTCCCATTATCAATCTTTAGTGATTTATAAGAAAAAAGGGAATTAAAGTTGATCAATCAAGCCTTAATAAAAAGAGATAATACAGAAATAAAACATAAAAAAAAATTACAAATTACTGAAGGATAAAGAAGCTGTTGTCACAACTGCAGCTGAAAGAAATACGCAGCAATCAAGCATAAGTCTTCTAAACCTCCACCGACATTCCCTGCAACGATAGAAATCTTGAAAATTGAATGTAAGGTTCTGCAACTCTCTACAGCAGGAAAAAAAATCAAGTCTATCATTCATTTCTCTAAAAGTCGAGTGGTTTTCCAAACAAATCATTGATTTCATTCATGGCCTCTTTAGTGAAAACTGTGGGCTCCAAAAAATCCATTGTTCCATTAGAACAGGACGAAATGCATGGTGGAGCTTGAACATTCAAATTCTTCTCCATGGTGTCATCAGATAATATAAAAAATCCATGCTTGCTGCTATCTGCCTTCGGTTTAGAATGTTTTTCTTGTTTCTTAGATTTGCGGGCCTTGACAAAATTCAGTGGCGTTCCAAACATGCCATTTATATCATCTATGGCTTGCTTGAGGTTGATTGTTGGATCCACTAAACCATGATGGCATGCATTTTCAACCTTTGGCTCTTCAAAAACTGTTGAACCAACAATTTTTCGAATAACAGTATCCTCTTTCAGTCTCCGAAAGACTGTGTCCTCTTTCAATCTAACATCAAAATTATCTCTTCCTGTTTCAGTGATAGAATGAGAAGTAGGCCAAGATTGTTGGCAAGATACTTCTTTTGGTTCTTCCATTTCCATGCAATCTCCCTGAGAATCTTCATCAACATCATCATCCTCCTCATCTGGAAGAATGTTGAAAGCTCCGACAAAAGGCTTCTGTAACTCAGTGTTGTCATTTCTCTTCGGGGAATCTGAATTCACAAACTTAGCAGAAACAGGTCGGGTATTAGAAATAATGCTGGGATAAACATCTCCTGATTCTTCCATTCCTCCATCAGCAAACACCTCAATGGTATTTCCACTCTGATTTGGCTTTTGTTTAACCTCATTAAACATATTACTAGTAACATTCATGGACTCCTCCATGTTGATAGCCGGATCTGATAGATCATGATGGTGAGGATCATCAACTTGAGACAAACCCACACCATCTCTGTGCAATGGAGCTGACTTATCCAGATCATTGATGGAAATTGATTGAGGTCGAAGAAGCTTTTTAACTACTTTGCAACTTGAATTTTCTTCCACAGGGTCAGTTTTAAAAATGCTTTCTGCACTGGAAGAAACCAATCCATTCTATTTAGTGAATAAAATGCAAAGAAAATTTATTTTCATGTTCAACATACCTTTGCTGGTTTTTTAGATCATTAGAGGTTGAGGTTTTCTGAGAATGTCCTGCAAATAAAACCGCTGCAATCGATTAGTTCTTCAGTTTTTCAAACCCAGACATCACACTTTCTGTTCCAAAAGACAGAATAACGAAAGAGAAAAAGAACTAAACTATAGTGCACTAAAGTTGTTATTAATGTAAAACAGCTAGAATTTTTAATTGGCTCAATAACTCGTGAATGTTAGTTACACAATCCTTCTACAGTTGGCAATAATGGGATATTATTTTGTTGAAAAAGCAGTACCACCTGTAGTTGTTGCACCAATGCTGGCCAATGCTTCCTGCAAATGGATGCAGATTTGAGCTGTAATAACAGACATAACAAAGTAAAATAAGCAAGTCAATTCCCATCATAAAAAGAGGGAATTTAGATACATACCACACAAATCTTCTATATTTACATACACCTAAAGTTTGATATTTACATTTTTACCACTTCGGTGTTACAAGACTGCATGAAAAGGCGTATTTGACATTTACAAAGTTGATAATAGTGGGTTTTTTCTGTGATTTCAAAGATTTGAATGGTAAGCATGTAAATATCAAAGTTTACGTGTTAGATAGGTAAATATACAAGAATTGTCTGCTATGTATGTAAATGCCCCTAAAAAGTAATACCCGTTTAGCACTTCGATACTTGAGCAGTTTCATCCGGTGAAGAAACTGATCATATGATTTCTGTAATTCTCCTATTGGTTCAGCAATCCTATATATAAGTTCAGCAAAAAAAACCCATCATATAAATCGCCCAATGATGCATATGATAACTGTGTCTAGATCAACTAAAAGCACAAAATTTCTAATGCTCATATCCATAGAGGTATATATTTTAGATGTGCTCAACAAAGAGTTAATTAAAAAAATTGAGAATACTAGAAGGCGTTCTATTTATAACATACGTTGTGGTCAGCATAATTGAATATCCCACGAGTATCAATTTTAAGAAAATATGGTTATTGTGCACAGAAGGTAACGTTCATGAGGCTATAGAAAAAACATCTTCATTGAATCCAAGTTTTAAAATTTTCAAAGATTATGAAGAAATTTAACAATGCAGTTTAAGTCATGGATGAGTTCATTGATTCAAAATATGTTACAATCAAGGTTTAGCATTAGAAACATTAATTTGTTTAAGAGTAAATTTGTCTAAGACCCAATTCCAAATTTGGATAGTGAAACACCAGCAATTCTAACACTAAGTCTCTCATTGTATCATTTATAATTTTTAAAAATTTAGATATCACCCGTCATAGAATCTGAGGCAATAAAATCTATAATACATAGACCTTGGTTGAACATTTTTTTGTTTAAGAGATGCTAATTAATTTGTGTGACTAATAAAGTTTTAACTTTTTAATTTCAACAAGGTCATATTAAAAAAAGTGAACAATGATGACTAAACCTCACAAAAGAAAACCAAAGCAGATCAAGAACAAGATCTGGATTAGATGGTACTAGCATTGTGAAATAGTATTGAGTACATTCATCAAAAAAAAATAGTGAGTAACCTTAAACTAATTAAAAAAGAATAGAAAACTTGGAAAAATTTAGTAAGGGTACTACTTGCATGCTCTAGGCCAACTTCAGATATGTTGCACTTGTTTTAAATTAACAAGTTAGGTTCCTAATTTAATGAAAACTGATAACGACATTCCTTCCATTTTTCAGTCATAACAATAAATGCAAAATGACCTGTAGAGTCTTGCGAATCAACCAATTAGATCCCTTACATTTCAAATTTGTGCAAATAGATTCATTCCCCTCCAATACCTACATTTTTCTCCATTTTTCCCTCACAACCTCTCATTCCTTCTCAATGCCTAACCAACACAGATGGTCGGGTCACCATACACTTGTCTCTCACAGCCTCACTCATGGACTGATGTTGATGAAGGTTAATTCATGAACAATCAGTCATCCCTCCCTTACATTTCAAAAATATACAACTCGGTATAGTCCCTCCTCTCTCTCTCTCTCTCTCATGCACACACATGCATCTCTCTTCTTCTTTCCCTCAATCTATATCTCTATATCCAACAATAACATACCCATGGGCTGGACAATGCCCCACCATAGACTTGGTTTAGCATTTGGTAAATCGGATGGGGAAACATCTCTCTCTCTCTCTCTCTCTCACACACACACACACACACAAACACACACACACACACGCTCACATAAAATACGAGAATGGCAAAGATGATAGAAGTGAAATTTAGTCTATAATTGCTCAGCAAATCAAGATGGAGCCGATGATATGAATTGACAGCACTTGCCAAAAACATTAAAAAAAGAATTTAGAGCAAGAGCCACTTGCATAGTTACATTAAAAAACAAACAAACCAGATAGAGTCCTATCAAGATTCAAGAACACTTCAGACACTTAATGACAACAATGAAAGGCTACAATTTTTTAATGATTCAAAATTGTTTTATAAGTTTATTAAAACTTTAATTTATTGGAAAATTAATAATTCAACATGATCATTGTCATTATGATTGGTCATATCCCAGCTATTTGAAATCAATTTGATGAGCCCTTCTTATCAATTCATTGATGAATATGTATAGATTAAAATTGTTTGTGAAAAACAATATCTAACTGAAAGAAAATTAGGGTAGTGAGGGTAGGAGAAAACAATGTCTTGAGCTCGAGCAAGTTGCCTCTAATAGCTAAAGCACAATTAAAATAGGGGATAATTACATAAGACCACTCAAAACATTGATATTTAAAAAATTAACCACCCAAGTGATTTTTTTTGAACTACTGAACCAATGTATTTGTGCATGCCACGATCAAACTATTGAGAGTTTGATAGAAATGAAAAATATGGGTTGGGGATTTACCATGAATTTTGATATTTGAGTGAGAATTTGAAAAATGGATGAAAGTGTGCAGTTGATAAAACGCAAGTTTAGGTGTTTTGTATGTAATTACCGATTAAAATAGATGTTTAGTATTCCTGAATGATTTTGAGTCGACTAAAGTCAACCAAAAAGTTGTTAGAAGGTTTAAACTTAAGACTTGTGCATGCATGAAGAAAGATCACTAAAAACAATTGATCATGTGGTCCTTTAGAAAATGTGTATAAAACAATTTCGAGCCAACTCAAATCAAATTTCGAGTAGGCTATCTTGAACTTAAATTAATAAACCTATTTTTCTAACATGACATTGAATACTAGAATTGAGCCAATTTTAACTTAGCCGAGAATCCACGAAATTATAATTTTTCAGGCATTCTTATCAAATCTAAAAAGGAGCAAGGAGAAGAAAGTTCCAAGAGAATTATAAGAATTGTTTGATGTAAATTTATCTTGATGTATTTTCAGAAATAAAAATAAATCTTAGCTAAAGAGAGAGATGATGTGATCAAAGTGCGCATGTACATGTGTATGCACATGGACACTTGAGAAGAAAGAACACAAAAAACAAATAACTATGCAGCCCTTCAAAAAATGGGTATATAATACTTTCGAGCCAACACAAATCCATTTTCAAGCCGGCTATCTTGAACTTAAATTAATAAGCCTATTTTTCTAACATGTCATTGACTAGACTAGAATTGAGCAAATTTTAACTCAACTAAGTATCCAAGAAATTTTGAATTTCAGTCATTCTTTTCAACCCTGAAAGAGAGCAAGGAGAAGATAGTTCCAAAAAAATTAAAGGAATTTTATTATGTAAATTTATTTCAATGTATTTTCACAAATAAAAATAAATCTTAGCTAAAAAAGGAGATAATGTGATAAATGTGCACATGCACATGCACACTTGTGAAGCGCATACATATGCACTATGCAAATTCATGTTTGAAAACCAATAAAAAAACATGTTTAGAAGAACATCACATTATCAATATACACATGCATGAATATGTGCACACCCGCGCAAGCCCACTACCGCACGAACCCGCACAAAATACTTGCATATACACATGAAGGCATGCCCACAAGCACACATGCATGACCACAAACTAAAACATTCATACAATAAAACTTCATGAAAAATTGGCAATTTGAGCCTTTTAAAGTGCATATTGCAGAAAATAAAAAATAACTAAACTTAACTTTAAAATAGTCAAAAATGGTCATGCAATTTAAACGTACTTGCCTTAAGGGGAGGCATATAACTACACAGATCATAACACGAGAAAATTATTTCCATGTATTGATTAAACCCTGGAAGTATCAACAGAATGTGAACTGTTGATAAATTAAACAGGTCTTGTTTACTGGTCATGCTGAACCTGGCTTTCCAAACATAATGAAGGCTGCCTGCTGGAAAAAGACAATAACCGTCACCCGAACGTTGCGGCTATGAAGTACTCGAGAAGCCAATAATGGATATAAATATGTGCCTTTTCACTTGCCTTAGAAGAGAGGACATGTAAAGCCCCAGTCAATTTGTTTTAAGGAACAAGAACTTAAAAAAATTGAAACTAACGGTGTTGAGGAAACCAGACTCCCATAAATACTTTTCACCCCTCAAGATACACATACTATACCAATTAATAAGCAATATACCAAAAAGGATAAAACTCATGATAGAGCACTTGCCACAATTCTATAAATGAATGATGAATTGGAAGTTATGAGCCATCAGTGAAATTTTTTTAATAAAGTAAAAAAGATTTTCCAAACCTACTTTGATTGCATTCATGAAACTTAAACGATCATTTAGTTTATTAATTTTCTTTTTCCTACTATATTCTATCACAATACATCATAAACAAAAAAAAATTAAGTGTTCAACATAAGAAGTGTGGAATAGTTGTGTATAGGCAAATACCCAAAAGCTCATGCATAAGCTATTAACCTGCTAGGTTAACCCATGAACAAACTTGGGTCAACCCGACCAAGTACCAACTCAACGAAACTAGGCATAACGGTTACAATACTTGTCAATCAGCCTTGACTTTCACTAGCTCACAGCTTAGCCAAGGCAACCCAAGAGCTTGCCTAATAAGTAACTCGGGGGGTAAACTGACAACTAAGTTGGTAGTCCACCCACTTGTAACTTGGCATGTTATGTGGCCGCAAGATGTGTCACGACATCATGCACTATTGTATATTTCTCATTATTATATTTTTCTCAGTCATGTATTGTGATAGGCCCTCAAATCTATAAAGAGTAAGTAAAAATAAGGGAAGAGGGACATGAAAAGAAATTATTCTCAAACTTGGTCTCAGTCCTCTCCCTCACCAACACCCCCCCCCCCACCTTTTCTCGAGTGTTCTGGCCCAGGTGGTGCGCCCACAAACAACTTTGGATCCTACAAGCTAGAATAATTAAGGCCTTCAGCCAACAAATGAAAACAAAGACCAAGCACAATCATTTGAATGCAGTGCATCAACCATGATATAATTGATTCAAAACTATTCCAATATCCTTGGTTTAACATGAATCAACTCTGAAGGGTTCTTAGAAAGCTTTAAATGTCATAATAGTATTGCAGATAACCGGTGTTTTTTCACATCTTAGAAAGTATATTTCAACTTGTAGCTTACGTTAACTAATGAGATATATTAAAATTGCATCTTACTTTTGAACACCCAACAGATATATCTTCTCCGCATCCTCAAATCTCTTCTTCTTCTCGTAGTACAAAGCATAGGCAATGTAGAACTTAGCCCGTTTCAGACCTATTTGACTCTTCTCCATCTTTCTCAATATCAACGCTGCATCTTCCACATAATCCATCTAAAATGAACAAATTCAATTTAGCATCATTTTAATAAAAACACAGATATCATACATCCAAAAAGAAAAAACTTAACATTTGGTAAAACCCCATAAAGCAATAAAGGAACATGTTATACACAGAGATTAAAAAAAGGGTTATTTGTACATCGAAATAATGTCAGGGTTCTTTCGGTCTCATTGATAAAAATGGGTTCAAGTTTAGCCAACCTTTCAAGGCATACAGCTCTATAAATCTCCAAAGAGCTTGTCAAATTAATTATCGAGCTTAAACAGTACCACAAAAAAATATAGCAACTTGTCATAAGTCAGCGAGTATAAGTGAAATAGTCTGACAACTTCTCTTCAATTTGTCCCGCAATTAGAACTCAATCTGTATTTTCTATGTAATTAGATAGCTATAAGTTAACAAAAACTATTTTATAACAATATTTATCAAGCCTTATTATGCAATTTTACTTATATTGTTCAAATGTCATATTTTTTTGTTGTGTTGAGCTTCAACTAAGTCTATAAATAAGAGGTCAGAGAGTGAGCTTGAAATATTCAATCATTTGCTCAAGTCTTGTACTTTTTAGTAATCTAATAAAATCCCAAACTTCTCATTACAAACACCCTTTCTCTCTTATTTACCCTTGTTTTCGTAGTTATTTTTCAGTAAAACTTTGCTGTTACTCACGTACAATTTTTTAACAAAACAACAGCACACAAGCATATGCAGATTTCCCTAGTAGCTCGGAAGCAACACAAGTGAACGATAAAAAAAATAAAAAAGAAAACCATACACATGTCCAAATCACTGAAACATTACCAGTTGAATCCATACTGTTAGATATCTAGAATCATTTCGGTAGCGGCGATCAGATTCGAAGGTTTCTGCGCACTTCTGAAGGAATCGAGGGAGTTTCTCGCTGAGAACATGTGTTGGTAGCGACTGGTGAATCTTCCGAATGCCTCTAAGGAACAAAACGGATGAACAACGTTAGAATTGTGTCGAATGATTGAAAATGCGAGATGGCAGTGAAAGATAGAGGAACTAGGGGTCTGTCTAATCTCTAGATAACTTTAAGCCAACACTTCCACTTACCGTACCCAGGGACGGAGGGGATCATCGCCAGCGTAGTTTTTGATCTCTGAGATCACCGACGTGAAAAGATCCTTCTGCGAGCTGCTCGCCATTGTTGCCGATGAGCACGCGCAGCGAAGAGCCAAAGGAGTGAAGTTTAGATAAGACCTAAATTCAAATAGAGAACCGTTCCATTAGGCAATCACCTTTTTTTTTTTTTTTTTTTAGCCTCCTATTTTATTTTTATATTATTCTCTACTTTCTATTCTTATAATACGGTATTTGATGTTATGATTTATATATTTTCTACTTTTAGAAAGCATATTTGGCACTGTAATGATCAATATATTTTTAAAAAGAGCAAATTATAAAATTTGTTTGATATAGTATTTAAAAAAAAATTATATTTTTAATAAAATTGTTGGGTTCACGTGGCGCTATAGTATTTAGCTCCACCGCTCATTGCGTACACAACTTTTCCTTGCCAGGTTACCATGAGGAGTGCACCCGTACCCACCCAGAGCGCATTCGTGCATCATCAAGATTCGATCATCGCATAAGACAAAGTGCACGATATACCTACACCACATTTAGGACACACCCATTACAGATTAAAGTGCATACTTGCCAGAAAAGGAAGCATGTTTGTGCTTTCATTAGAACCAAAGATCAGTACCCCTGCGCCCATCTCACAACATGCCCGCACGGTCGTACCCGTCACTAACTCATCTACTCTCAATGCGAAATTCAAATTTTAAAGATTTTTTATTGCTTGTGTTGCCATCTCATAAATATATCTCTCGAAACGATGAAAATCTTCTTTAGATGACTGGAGGCTAGAGTTGCTGCAGAGAGTACTTGTGAGAGCCCTAGAAGTTCTTCTCCTTCTTCCTTAAGGGAGAAAGCTTCTAAAGGATTTTTTTTTCTTTAAGAGGATCTTGTATGAGACAGGGATTAACTGTTCCTGTAGAGAGGAAAAGCTTTAGTTGTAATTTTTACTTTGATATATTGCTTGCATCAATGGTTTCAATGAATTTATTTTGTTGTTTTTTCCATGTTGAGTAGCTAAATCTCTTACATGCCTCTGTGATGTAGGGAAGGAAAATAGTTCTCTAATGGTTTTCCTTGCATGTTTCCTCCATAGCTTTTTGATCTTTCATGTATTCAAGTTCTTAAGTTAAACTTCCAATCTTCTTTTACTCCTGATTTGGCCAAATAGGATATTAAATCTTTCATGATTTTTGACTCCTGCCTGTATGTAGTGAAATAATAGGTTAACCATAAAAACCTAGTGAAATCGGCATATTCTCATTAGGTTCTTGCAACCAAGAAAGGTGATCTGAGGAGTCTTGGGAAACTTTGCATGGTTATGCCCCGTAGCTATACAATGCTTTTCACTCTTCTTATGACCTAGCCATAGGCTAAGGAGAAAAATTTTATCCATAATTGACAACTATCACATGGGGAACATTTAAGTAAACCACAAACTTGCAATACTCCCGAGTTATAGAAGCACGAGCCTCAACCCTTCTAAAGAATACTAAGAACCTTACTTTTTGTTTTTGAGATCATGTTGTTATTTTCTACTTTGTTTCTTAGAATTTTAGGATTTTATAAATGAGCTTGTAATCATGCTAAGTTAGGTTCTTGAAGTTAGTAAACTAGAGATTCATTTGTCAGAATCATTCTTTATCATTTCTTGTGGGATCAATATGTGTACTTGAAGACCACATATTATTTCATATGTATACTTATGTGCTTGGCCACTTGCATCATTGTAACTTTTTTGGACATCTAGTTTTTAGCATTGTCGCAGAGGAAAGTCTTTAATAATTATTCTGATTTAGAAGAACTGTAGCTAAACTACTTAAATTTTAGGTTTGGCAAATTCTATTTTTCATTTCTCTATTTTCTTATTATTTGTATTACACTTGCATATATGCTTTGCCTATTTTTTTGTTAGTGCTAAAAAGCAAATAAAATTTAGTAAAACCTAAAAAGTAAAAAAAAGTATATTTTCTTTATTTTGCATGTGTTGCTAACTGTGTCTGGCTTGTTTATTGATGGACTTGTGTGCGTCATTATGATTGAGTGTATTTAATTTTGAGTTTGTTGTGTCTGGCGTTAACATAGGAGCGATTGTCACTTATCATTTGATCATTGTATACTTAAGACTGCCAAAGCTGAATTTGTACCTTTTGACCCGAGATTGATCAAACCATTAGATGACTAAAGAGAACACATTCATTATCTAACACACCCGAAGAAATGGCTAACCATCATGAGCACAACATGAAACAAAATAGGGAATATGCCAACCCTTCAGAAGATGAGATCCGTGTGAGCATCAAATACCCTATTGTAGAGGCCAACACTTTTGAGCTTAGACCTAATATTATCCAAATGGTATCGATAAACTAGTTTGGGGGATCTCTTGTATTGTTAAAAATTTTGATGATATTTTTGCCGGTCTGTTATTAACTTTACAAATTGACCACTTGTATTGTTAAAACCTGTTAAGAAACTTATAGACCTGAAAAGGCTAAGATTTCTTGACTTGTAAGTATCATATTCTACCTTAGAAAGAGCAGTCGTGATCATCCGAAGGGGGTGCAAATAGATAGGGAGATAAGATTTGATGGGCGAAGAATTATTGTTTCTAAAGTGACATCACTAGATTCTTTTATCAATTTGATCTAAAGATTGGAACTAAGGGGCACCGGCAGGTCTTTTAGAGAGGGTGTAGTGAGTAATCTTGGACTGAGAGACTAGAAACTACCCAACACTACTATACATGCTGAAACCAACTTTAGATTAGTCCATGTTCCTGCACATTTCAAAAGAAGTAAAGAATATGTATGGTCCTATTTGTCACAATACCACATTAAAGTTTCTAAATAAATAGAAATCCTACACTGATTATAAATTATTGGCAAGGAGAAGTCTCTTTTTATATATTATATAAGACATTACATTTACTTTTACTTGCATGTTATAGAATTTAGTAAACTTAATTTTCATCTTCAGATAGTTACTGTAATCTTAAAAAAATTTTCTTAAAGTCAAAATTCATGTATTTCATTCATTGTTTTCTTGTTTTCGGCTTCCTCGTGGGATCGCTACTGGGGATTTTTAAAGAAATATCTATATTTCATGAAATGATACGTATACTTGCGTAGTACCCTTATTGAGAAAACTATTTCTTTAATTTTTATCATATTACATTTATTCTCACATGTCGCTAAATATAATTTGGGTCAAGTTTTTAGCATATTAAAGAACATAAATATCTGTGTAATTGCGGGTCAGGTCAAGTTTTTGGCATCGTTGCTGAGGACGTGTGGAAAAACGAAACTTTAAAGGAAATATTTTTTTTTTTGGAATTTTCTTTGAAACTTTATTTTTTTATTGCTAAAAATTTTAGTTTTCACTTACTTAAAATTTTCAAAAATTACAAAAAAAATTACAAAAATTATAAAAATATTATAAAACCCAAAAATTATTAAAAAAATTGCAAAAACCGAAAAAAAAGTATAATTTTATTTTATGTGGATTGTTTTAGTATTTTATTTTTTTGAATTTTATTTTTTGTATGTGAAGTTCAAGATCAAAAGATTTAGTACCTCTACGATTCTGAATTGGAGGGAACCATAAAAAGAATTCAAAAACAAAAATAACTTCACAATTTTCAAGAAATGACATACACATCACAAAATAACATTGAAAAATTTACTAATGAAAATGAACATCAAAATTCACAAAAACTTTTAAGGCATTATGAAAACCCTACGACAGATGAAATTCATTTAAGTATTCCAATCCCTGCTGTAGCAGCTAACTCCTTTAAATATAAATCTACAAAAATACAAATGGTGCAAAATAATCAATTTTGGAGAACACCAACTGAGGATCCTAATTTACTTCTTGCAATTTTTCTAGAACTTTGTGCTACATTCAAATATGAATTTGTATCGAATGATTTTATTAGACTCTGACTTTTTCCTTTTTCTTTAAGGTATAAGACTAAGATGTGTTTAAACTCATTAGTACCTGAATCTAATAAAACTTGGGGAGAAATGACACAAAAATTCCTAGCTATTTTTTTTCCTCCTTAAAAAACCGCTAAGCTTAGAAATGTTATTACTTCTTTTATTTAGCTTGAAGGGGAGTCAATTTATGAAGCTTGGGAACAATTTAAGAAACTCCTTAGAAAATGTCCACATCATGCTTTACCTGACTGGTTAATTATTCAAACATTTTACAATGGGTTAATAGGATCCCTTAGATCTATAATTGATGCTACTGCTGGAGGATCTTTAATGTCAAAATTATTTGATGAAGCTCATGCCTTAATTAAAGAAATGACCACTAATAATATTAAATGGCCCTCAGAAAGGGTAAATACTAAATGAGTGGCTAGTATTCATGATAATGATGCTTTTACCATCTTATTAATTCAAGTTGCTGCATTACCTAAGAAGCTAGATAATTATGTTATGATTTTTTCTCAAATAGCTCAAACAAGTGAAGAAGATTTATTGGGACAAACCAATGATTCTCAATCATTAGAAACGTTACATGCAGTTGCTAATAAACCTAACAACCCATATTCAAACTCTTATAACCTAGGTTGGAAAAACCACCTAATTTTAATTGTAACAATTATGGTGGTGGAAATCAGCAATGGTGGAACAATCAAGCAAAACCGACAGGAACTGGAACAATCAGGGTATTTTTAACTATCGACCTTATTATCCTTTTGTCTTTAATAACCAACAATTTAAAAAATAGGAGTTGTCTATAGAAGAAGTAGTTTTACAAATGGGTAATCAGATGCAAAGTCAAAGTGCTATAAGAAGAAATATTGAGAATCAATTGGGACAAATTGCTAACGCACTTAGCAATAGACCCCAGAGAACACTTCCTAATAATGTTGAAGTAAATCCTAAAGATAATAGAATAGAACAAGAACAAATTAAAGTTTTTCAACTATGGAGCAAAACAGAATTAAAAGTTGAAAGTCAAAAAGAGATTGAAGAACCTAAAGAAATTATTTCTAAAGACCTAGAACAATCTGTCTTTCAAACTAAAAATGATTTAGAAAGACCATCACCTCCTTTTCCTCAAAGATTGAGACAGCAAAAGCTTTCTTAACAA